GTGCTGTTTACTAGATGTTTAGCTCATAATTAAATGACACTTCTACACAAAACCCCAACCAACTTTTATTTTTCTGATAGAATGATACCCCTTTGAAAATGTGTGCAGATATGTCTATGCACTTGGAAAGGAAGAAAAGGAAAATGGAAAGAAAGCTTAAAGTCTCAACAGATTTGCTTTAAGTTGATAATAATGAGCTTCTAAGAGAGTGAAGAGACCATTACACTACTTTCAGAAGAAAAAAAAAACACACTAAACAGACATCACATTTGAGCCTTCTCCTGTAAAACACATAACTGCTACTGTTATAGTGTATTTATTTTATTTCTGCCTAATCTTGTTGTAGAGTTGACTTAATTTAGCAATCAAATGGGACAATGAACAATTAAATTAGACTATAATTCTTGGGGAAAATTTGGCTTAGATAACAAAACGCAAAATTCCTTTGCTAATGTAGACAGTCATTAGCTTGATGATGGTATTGTTGCTCTTTGGGAGAGCGTGCTATCCTGTGCTAGGTGTTACTCTCCCAAATCCTGCTCCTGAAACTGGTCCATGAGAAGTAAATGCAGGTTAATTTTTGAACTAAAAATGATTCCACCCCAACAATCTCACTCCAGACCTCTGTGCTGATTTGGTGGCAGCAACCTGGGGAGCTTTCGCCTGCTCAAAAGACAGGAGTGAGTCATTCTGGGGAAGCACTCAGCGGACAGTGAGAGCTTGTATGTCTCAATCAGTTTTGCTGCTAGAACATGTACTGGTTAGCATATTTCTAAGGTGCAGAGAAGTGGTTCCTCTTTATAAACCAAATGCTTTCGGCGCATACGATTTTCCAAGGCAGCAATATTTCATGAAGCCTTTCTTTATAAGTATCTGTCTTTAGTCATGCTATTTTTTTCTTTTTTTATTGAGGTATAGTTGATTTACAGTATTATATCAGTTTCAGACGTACAACATAGTGATTCGAAAATTTTATAGATTATACTCCATTTGAAGTTATTATAAAATATTGGCTGCTTTCCCTGTGCTGTACAATATACCCTTCTAGTTTGTTGTCTGATATACAGTAGTTAGTATCTCTTAATTCCTTTCCCCTATCTTGGCCCTCCCTCCTCCCTCTCCCACTAATAACCGCTACTTTGCTCTCTGTATCTGCGAGTGTTTCTGTTTTGTTATATTCATTCATTTTATTTTATTTTTCAGATTCTATACATAAGTGATAAAATACAGTATGTCTCTCTCTGGCAGTCACTCCATTTTTCTAAGTATTTATTTTTTGTTATCTTAATAAATGTAATACTTACCAGAATCCTGTAAAACATAAATTAGACAGATAGAGAACCAATAAAAATTGTATATAGTACTTGCAATATGAAATCCTCCATATTTCTCTTATGTTAAAACAGAATATTATTTTTTCCTTTCTCCTTCATAGAGATGTCTTGTGAAATATTACTGCGCTGGACATACCCTAAGGGACCCTCAATGAGTCAGATCCTTGTATAATTCCCTTCCCTTAAGTATAGACAGAACCCGTGACTTACCTTCAAACCAACAGAATATGGCAAAGGTGAGAGATTTGCACACGTAATGAAAGTCCTAATAAGTTGATTTGAACTTAATCAAAAGGAAGATTACCGGGGGGCTTCCACTAACCGCCTACCTACCCGGCCTACAGCAAGGCGATCCCCGACTCCCTTCTTCATGGCGTCACTTCTGTGCTGTGGGCCCAAGCTGGCCGCCTGCGGCATCGTCCTCAGCGCCTGGGGAGTGATCATGTTGATAATGCTCGGAATCTTTTTCAATATCCACTCCGCTGTGCTTTTTGAGGATGTTCCCTTCACGGAGAAAGATTTTGAGAATGGCCCCCAGAACATATACAACCTTTACGAGCAAGTCAGTTACAACTGTTTCATCGCCGCGGGCCTTTACTTCCTTCTCGGAGGCTTCTTTTTCTGCCAGCTTCGGCTCAATCAGCGCAAGGAATACATGGTGCGCTAGAGCACCGTCGCGTTTCCCCTCGCCTGCCCCCACCTGTATTTAAAGACTCTCCCCACCTGGTCGTCGTCCCCC